TGTATTTACATGAGACAGGGTTTTATGTGGTGCACAAATGTGCATCCGGTACACACAAATGTAGAGGACAAACGCAGAATGAAATGTATACAGTTTCCCTCGGATGCACAATTATATTCATTGTACCGACAGCGCATCGAGATCAGTTCTCATTGTTATGGGTGTCTCTTATTTCATCCATCAATCATGACCACTGTTTATATTTAATGATTCATTCCAGGCTCTAAAGTATTTATCAAAAAGAACAGGGCCCCATTCCACAAAGTGATCGAAGCGCTAAGATGATCGTAACTCCCATTCTTTTGCATAGGTTTATGACAGTCGTAGCGCTCTTTACTTTACAGGACCTCATATTGCCTGTAGGGACCCTTACAATTCATTATTGGGGGTCCCCTGGAGCCCTACTTTTGTAAGTCAAGGTAAAACCCTGATGAGATATGACCTGAAAAACTGCAGGGACTTAACAAACCGTCCCAAAGAATATACTATGGCTCAGGGACCTGTTCCACAAAGCGATCGTAGCGCTAAGATGATCGTAACTCTCATTCTTTAGCATAGGCTTATGACAGTCCTAGCGCTACGATTGCTTTGTGGAACGGGGCCCTGGTTGCCATTGTACAAAGTGATCATAACTCCCATACCTTAACATAGACTTACGACAGGCGTAGTGCTAAGGTTGTTTTGTACAAGGCACCCTGGTTTCAAAACATGTACACATCTTGGTTTTGTCATGAGAAACTGGGCATGAACATGACAAACCAGCCCCAACAATATCCTAAAACCATGTCCCAATTGCACCAAGATCACAGTACAACATGTACAAAGACTGCTCAGTTCATGCTAAGGCGGTGGGAGCCTTGAGATCTGCAGCTACCAGAATCTAGTGACATGTTGTATGTTACGTAGGGTCACCATGGTTGCGACAAGAATCCCGTCACTTTCATGCTTAGTTTCCATCACTGTAAAAGTATGGGAAAGACTATGGTCTTGGTGCCATGGTTGCTGCATGTTGTCCCTGTTCCTCAAAGCGATTACGGCACTAAGGTGATTGTACCCCGGTAATTCTCATATTTTAACATAGACTTACGGCAGTCGTACCACTAAGGTGATAGTAACTTTCATACTTTAACATAAACTTACAGCAGTCGTAGCGCTAAGGTGATTGTAACTCCCATACTTTAACGTAGACTTACGACAATTGTATCACTAAGGTGATCGTAACTTTCATACTTCAACATAGACTTGTGACAATCATACCACTAAGGTGATCGTAACTTTCATAGTTTAACATGGACTTCCGACAATCGTACCTCTTAGGTGATCGTAACTCTCATACTTCAACATAGACTTGTGACAATCATACCACTAAGGTGATCGTAACTTTCATAGTTTAACATAGACTTCCGACAATTGTAGCACTAAGGTGATCGTAACTCCCATACTTTAACAATTTGAAGCCATAGTTGTTACCTGACTATTGTAAGTCACTGTTTTGTTTTCATTACAAAGGCTTCTGACAGAGTGTATCCCTTTTCGCTATCACAGATTGATTGCAAACAGTGACTCGTCAAACTGTTCCAAACACAAAACTAACGTGTGGTATGTCGGAGTGTTTGTCACAAAAGAAAAAAACTCGAAGTAGCGTGATAAGGACATGAGGTATGATTTTATTTGTGGCACAATAATGATTGTAGATTAACTTTCTTTTGATCTTTGCACTGAGACCATGTGAACTAAAAGTAGATGACCAGCTCCGTTCCAAGTAGTGATCTTAGCGCTAAGATGATCGTAACTCCCCTACTGTAACCAGCGCTATGTGGAACTGGGTGCCGTTGTTCAAAGTGATCTTAGCCTTAAGCATGTTAAGGTGATATAAGGCTATATATACTATAACCTAGGCTTACGGTAGTCCTAGCACTAACAACGCTATGTGGAACAGGGCATTGTTAACTAAACCACCACTAAGATGATCGTAACTGCCCTACTATAACCTAGGCTTACGGTAGTCCTAGCACTAACAACGCTATGTGGAACAGGGCATTGTTAACTGAACCACCACTTAGATGATCGTAACTGCCCTACTATAACCTAGGCTTACGGTAGTCCTAGCACTAACAGCGCTATGTGGAACAGGGCATTGTTAACTAAACCACCACTAAGATGATCGTAACTCCCCTACTATAACCTGGGCTTACGGTAGTCCTAGCACTAACAGCGCTATGTGGAACAGGGCATTGTTAACTGAACCACCACTAAGATGATCGTAACTGCCCTACTATAACCTAGGCTTACGGTAGTCCTAGCACTAACAGCGCTATGTGGAACAGGGCATTGTTAACTGAACCACCACTAAGATGATCGTAACTGCCCTACTATAACCTAGGCTTACGGTAGTCCTAGCACTAACAGCGCTATGTGGAACAGGGCATTGTCAACTGAACCACCAGTAGAGTATGGTAAAGCGTAGGTCAATATGATGGCTATTTCTGGGATATATTACAACAAAAGCATAATATTGATAATAGTGTTTACAAAAAGTTCCCTTTTATAGCAAAATGTTTAGTTACATCAGCATGGGATTGTTCTCACCAGCTCTCACATGGTTCAATAAGCATATTCTTTTGTTAAACTTCTAAGCACCTGGGGTGCTTATTATGGCAAATATGGTAAGTTATAAGGATATATATAAACTTTGGAAGATTTATTCAGTTCGAATGGTATTGATTTAGTGAATCGATCATGAGCATTGGTCTGTGGTGGACCAGAAGTAAGGGTTTTAGATGATGGTGTAACTGGATCCTTGGTGGACATTGTTTGTTTGTTTGTTTGTTTGTTTGTTTGCTTGTTTGTTGTTTAATTCCCTCGTTCATCAATATTCCAATCATATGACGGCGGTCTGTAAATAATCAAGTCTGGACCAGACAATCCAGTGATTGACATCATGAGCATCGATCGATGCAATTGGGATACGATGACATGCATCAACCAAGTCAGCAAGCCTGACCACCCGATTCCGTTAGTCGCCTCTTACAAGTGGACATTGACAAGTAACAGAATAAAAAACGCTTGATGGCTAATAGCCATGATATGTACATGTTGATGCCGACACCAATCCATCATCCATGTTCATGATGTTATCAGCATGATCAGAATAATGTCCCTATGATAATAATAATAAACCAGTGAGACCAGCTAAAATTTGTAGACACTCTATGATCCAGGAAATGAAACCAGTTTATGAAACGACACCGATGATGAAGCTGGTTTTGTTACACTGAGATTAGCATCACCGAGCGTCATTAACATGATTAAACGGTTTAACGTGTGGCCTGTCTGTCTGTTGCTATGTACCATGAAGTGCAGGCCATCAATGATCACAACTGGCATGGAGCCAGGTCAATATACACATCTCCTCGCTTTTTCCGAATGCAAACAATGTGTCCTGTATGGATAAAATAGCCACTGTGAGTCCCACTGGATGCGAATATGGATATTGGAAGGATTGAAACTATTTTGAAACATATACTGATGGAAAAAAAATAAAGGAACAGACAGAGAGAGCAGCATGTATTTGATGTGACATCTGTATTTACTCTGAAGATATGGTCACAATGTTTCTATTTTATGGTTTACATATTTTTGCTGACCAGATAGATTGGGTTTGTAAAATAGAGATATGTTTGTGAGACTCGGCATTATCATGATTATTAAATTGCATTTGGCATAAACTTAGTGAAATAAATAAAAGCTAATTGTGTTTCAAGTGGAATGTTTTGTATTTTTACAGTAACACATGTATTTACTTTTAAGACGGTGTTGTTTTATTTCTAAGAGTTTGCAGTCCCCAGAGACTTCATATAATGATATTTAAAAGTTAATTGTTATTAGATTTTGTATGGTATTTGTTGTTGCAGCTGCTTATTTTTCTAATCCACATAAGATAGAGTGGTTGGGCAAATAAAAATAGATTCAACTATTTTTATTTTATTGTAGAATTGTGATACTGTTTGGTCCAATCCATGAATGCAAAAATACACAAGCGTGGCCTAACCGATCTCTTCATCAATGCAGTCACAGAATTCGATGCTCACACTTGTCTATAGAAAGCAATACCAGTGAATGCATTTGAACACTTTGTTGTTGGTGTTCCCTTAATTTATTCCATCAGTATATTTCATGTTTCTATTCTAGTAAGAAATACAATGATGGACAGTCCATGTCAATTTGTATCCAAGTAAATCCCATGTTTAACATTGTATGATAGACATCAGACATACTACACAGTGATCCAGCGTTAGAAATTGGCACTTGTCCTGTAGTCCTTGCCAAACTGTCCAATAGTTAAGGTATTATAGGGACTAGTAGAAATTTGCTATTTTTAAGGGTTTTGCTATATGTTATCATTATAAGGACTAGTGGACTAAAAATGTTAGTTTCTAACGCTGGAGTGAGTGAGTGGGGTTTTACGCTGCTTTTAGCAATATTCCAGCAATATCACGGCGGGGGACACCAGAAATGGGCTTCACACATTGTAGCCATGTCGTGAATCGAACCAGGTCTTCGACGTGACGAGCGAACGCTTTAACCACTAGGCTACCCGACCACTCTCTAATGCTGGAGATCACCCTGGGACTCCTATTGTTATGTGTAATAGGTCAAGGACCAAGACGGTCGTTTACTAAGCAAGATGGTGCTGAATGGCAAGTTGGGGCTGGAAAGGGAAGACAGTGATACTGAACCATGAATGGGATGAATGGGCGTGTGCATCCAGACGTGAATAGGCGTGCACCGATTCAGGGATGTCGAATCAAAAGGCAGTTTGTATTCAGAACGTGGATAAAAAGATGTGATGTATAAGGGCCAAAGGTGAATACAAGGTACCAGTCTCACAATCATTGCTTCAAGTCTTGACTTAGATTTTACGTATCGTTGCTTCACATGTTCAACAGACCTTGATGTAAGCTTCCTAAAAGTAAGTGTAGGATATATCCACTAATTCTATTACAGCCAATCCCCATTGTGATGAGAGCCGAGGTCCTTGTCGAGGAGTTCACATTGCCTATGTGTTGCACAACACAAGGCAGGTTGTAGACAACTTGTACAGCTTATACTGACCGTGTCGGACCACAGTTAATCACCAGTCTGTATGCAGAGCCTGCACATCGCAGCAGGACAAACTCACTTCCTCCTTGGGTGAGGTGACTGTGAAGGCCACGTCTCCTTTTAGTCTGTTACTGGGTGGAGTACATGACGGGTAGCTGGGAGGTGGGTTTGGGATTGTGTCACTCTAGCATCCTGTTTTCCCAACTTGTGGTCTGTCAACTTACGGAACTACATGATGGAATGAGTGAGTAGTATTTTATACTTGAGTCATTTTTATGTGGCGTTTTCAGCATTAAATACTCTTCAGAAAAAAATATTCGAGCATGCTATAACAAGATAGACCTTTGAGATATGCTTCTGTCTTGAGATTTTCTCACTTCTATTTCGTATTGAAGTGAGGTAGTCCTACATAACCTACTCTTTGAGAGTTTTTGTGCACTTGGCAGGTATACCACGTCTACTACATCAGTTATCTACAATTATGTCATTGTAGTTACATTGATACAATAATTGCACAAAGTATTGATTGTGCAACACCTGTGATGTATTTGCTAACAATGATATGATTCATAACATCGAAGAGTTGATGTCCATGGAAGGGTGAACATGAGACCCATCAAGATTCGGGGTAGACGATGTCTTGCCTTGCCGTAAAAGGCGACTATGCTTATTGTGAGAGGCGACTAACGGGATCGGCTGGTCAGGCTCGCCGACTTGATTGTGCAACACCTGTGATGTATTTGCTAACAATGATATGATTCATAACATCGAAGAGTTGATGTCCATGGAAGGGTGAACACGGGACCCGTCAAGATGCCATGAAAGGCGACTATGCTTATCGTGAGAGGCGACTAACGGGATCAGGTGGTCAAGCTTGCTGACTTGGTTGATGCATGTCATCGTATCCCAATTGCGTGGACCGATGCTCATGATGTCAGTCACTGGATTGTCTGGTCCAGACTCGATTATTTACAGACCGCTGTCATATAGCTGTAATATTACTGGGTGCGGCGTTAAACAACAAACATACAAACAAAGAGAACATGGGCCAGGGTTAGGATTTCTCGCATGCGTTAGAGATTAAAACTAGTAGTCTAGTGGTTAAAATGTTCGCTCGTCACGCCAAAGACCTGGGTTTGATTCCCCACATGGATACAATGTGTGAAGCCCATTTCTGGTCTCCTCCGTGTGATACTGCTGGAATATTGCTAAAAGTGGCCTAAAACCTTACTCACTCTCACTCAATCACTCTCACTCAATCACTCACTAAGAAGGCTCTGTAAGATTTTCAGCTGTAGCGCTTGATTGAAGCTATAACCTAACCACTGTCATGCAACTGTAAAACAATTTGGTTGATTTGTATTCTGAGAATACAGCGTCGGTACAGTCATAGGTAAATACAGACAACTATATTTATATGACGTTTGAATACACCCAATACCTTCCCTTTACTGTCAATACTGAGTATCTTTTTAAAGCTTAAAGCTCTGAAACTCTCTTTACCTTGTTTACATAACGATGCTTGCAATAACACCCCGATCACACCTCACATTCACCATGTTTTAGTGTCACACTACAGGTTAGCATTTGCATACAGCTTACCGTAGATGACCGTAGATAAGCCGATCCCATAGATAAGCCCAGGTATTAACTTGCTCCTTGAAATCAGAATCATAATGTTATGTACGGTAGATAAGCCAGACCCCCAACCTGAAAAACTACGTCTTGTCACGATCTGTCATCTGAAATAGAAAATCAACAAATCTGTATTGAATTACACAAGTTATTCCTGTCATTACACCATCCGTAATAAAAAGTGTTTAGTTGTATATCATTGTATATCTGGACTCATGTTTGTAATCTACGTAATCTATTTTATTTATTATAATCAAACTTTCATTCAATAATATTTCCAAAATTTTCGGTGTCCATCGGGTACTTACAACTTCCGTTTGCCCCCTTCCATAAGGGCTGCTTTACCAACTCACCGTTATTTACAGCAACTGCTATCATATTACTGCTATTGACACCTTGAAACAAACCTTAGTTATCAGAAAATTGATACATATATCATAACTGCCATACTTAAAATTAATTCATTAAAAGTAGTATTAATGTTGTAGTTTAACGATTTAATGTCAACATATTGTAAATCATCATGTCTAGTGATGTTTAATCACAAGTATCACATGTTCATTGAAAAAGTGTTTCATAGCATTGTTCATTCGACTGAATCGATACGTTGTTTAACGATACATAAGCCGCCCCCTTTCTACAGGATCTTTTTTCTGGTCCTCAAAATTTGGCTTTTCTATGGTCATATACTGTGTAGGTGATCAATTTGGCCATTGACACACAATTCTGTACACGGTCTTGAATGGTTTATTTTAAACTTCAGAATAGATTGATTCATACATTCTTGATTCAGCCTTGAAACATTGTGACCGATATTTCGTATTATTTATGTCCTTCATATTCTTTCACTGGCCTGTTAATTGTAAGGCCTATTGTTGACAGGTACAAGCTATAATAAAAACAAATGTGAAATATTGCGACTTGTAACTAAAGTATCAAGTACATGTTGTTATCATACCAATATTATTTGCCGGATTTTAAACGAAACATCTGTGATACACACTTCAACCTTTTCAACATGCATACTGTTTTTTCATTTCCTCGTAACCAAATCCCTTTCAACAGAACAAATGCAAGCCAGGGTTGGTGTCGATTCCAGTGTTTCTGTCTCTGGAGCTGTAAATGATTTGTTTAATACAGAGATGATGAGCAGGGATGCTAACAGGAACAAAGGAACAACGACCAATTCACTTCTCCACCCTGAAAACATATTTTACACGTTTTAGATTCCCTTTGGTTAGATGTGGACAGTTGTGGAAAAAACATGGCACTAACATAGGCATGGAACCTTTCTGGCATAATAAGCCTCATTATTATAAGGGTAACGCTATTTTTCAGGGCATTATCATTTGCAGTTGCACGAGGTCTTCCATTCACTGCCGGACGAAGGAGGGCAGTTGAAAAGACCGATAATGCCCTGAAAAATAGCGTTACCGTTATTATAGCTAAAATGGATGGAATTTGTTATCAAATAAAAAGAAACAACAATATCGGTTTTGAAACATTTACTGCAATTAACGCGAATGTCACTGACCCACTTTTACAAATATGGAAACGTCATAGAACAAACCAGATGATGTCACTATTGAACGTGACGTCACCTATCCTATCCTATGACGTCACCTAACAACGGGCATGACGAGTTGAGTGTCGCCTCAAATCGGATTGCCCACTAATTAAGAAAATAAACTTCGCTTGTGGTTCTCTTTTATTGCATGCATGCGCTTCTAAGATCAAAGGGTGTATAGTGTGAAAAGTTAACTAGTAGAACAATCGTATTTCCGGGACTTGCCGCGGATGTTTTCAAACAGATTATTAGAACTCCATTCAGCGATAAACGGTTGATTATGCAATGAGAAGCGTTATGTGCAAATGAACAACGAACAACAATACAATCACGGCTGTGTAAAACTCTCAGTATTAAAAGTGTACATAAATTTTGGGAGCCATGCGATACCGCGCGTAGTAACCGAGGTAGCGCTTTATCGAAGAGCCCAATAGCGAGGGATCACTGTATAATGAATTTACAGAAGGCTGATCATTATGATCAAATCCATGAGTACATTTAACAAAAACAAAATGATTTAATTCATGATTACTATTAAGTACTTCAGGCTGTAATTCTGTAATATTCATTCGTAATTCTGTGATATTTGTTTGTTATTCTGTAATATGTATATCATGGTATATACTGTAAACTGTTTAAGCAGTTATGAAAGGTTGGCCTTTTACAGAATGGGTCTCTCAGTACACTTAGGTGCATGAGTTGTGAAAAGAAGCAAGGAGGAAGTACAACAAACAAAGAAGTAATGTTCAGATGCTGGGAGTCGAGACCGCATCCTGCATGTGTTGCCTAGCGATGTTGGCTGACATAGGAATAACCAGGTCATGTTCGAAAGGGTTAAGAAAGGTGACGTTGGAAAGGGTTAAGAAGCGTAACGACAGTGTAAGCTTGGGTTGTTATGGAGATTAGTGTTGTGGTAGGTCAAGTTAGGGGAAATGTCCTTGGCATTAACAGTCAGCTTGGATTATGCAACTTTCTGCATCTAACACGGACATTCTACCTAACACACGGACACTATGTGTATGCTGGAGGGGGTGAAAGTTTGCTTGTTGTTTAACGCCACTCTCTGCAATATTTTTCCTGTATGACAGTGGCCTTATTATCGGACCAGATAAACTTGTGATTGATGCTATGATTTTGGTTTGTTTGTTGTTTAACGCCGCACTCAGCAATATTACAGCTATATGACGGCGGATTAATTCTATGAACAGCGATTCACGTCATCAGGGTGTGATGACACAAATTCCAGCAAGTCCCGGTGCATGACTGCTGTCGCAGCAAGTAGCCTTGTTCAACAAGCACAGATCGAGGAGGACCTGTTTTAAGGGACTGACCATACGTTTTGTATCGTGATTGGATATTTTTTCAGCTGCCGCTAAAAACCCAGGTATTTTTTTATTTAAGATATGAGCCTGAATTTGTTTTGGGGAAAAACACCTTGCAACAATGTAATTTTTGTGGCAGGCAATTTATTTTTTCAACAGTCAACATAATTATTTCTTTCACGATTTCTCGGGGAAAATTTATTTTTTCCCATTAAATCCCAGTACCCCTCCTCTTCCCCCCAGAATATCAAGAGATCAAGTGGTCGGTCCCCCAAACCTGGGCCAGGCCGGGGGTTAAAGGGGGATGTAAGAGCTATATGGCACTCAATGATCTGAGTGACAGCCCGTTTGTGCAAGTGTGTTCCCTAAGTTGACCTCATTTTCAGTCTATATTTGTATTGATATGCCGACTAGTTATTTCGGAATGTGTGAGTTATCCTATTTTCCATGATTCTGATTGGTTGACGTGGAATCAAAATTAAATGTTATTTATCAATAACTGCAGAAAAATCCTGCGATTCGTAACTACTTTATCATGACAGATTCCCCATGATCATGATCATCATCGCTTCACCAACTTGCAACATTTCAAACATCTTCCTGAGGCATTTTAAAAAAAATCTACGAAAGGACGATTAACTTTCTAATTATAACGATCGTTTTTTATTGCTGTGTGCATTTATCAGAGGACAACAGTCACAAATGAAGTATGAAATCTCT